CCACAGCTTTCATCGCCTGCACATCTTTTCCGATAGCGTAGCAAGCATACTGAAAAGGAACGAATTAAAACATGTAAGCAACAATCATTTCTTTGCAGATCCGTAGCTTTTCATGCAGTTCGCTCAAGACTGTAGATCGAGACAGCATTTTCATTATTTATTCAATCATTCATTTTCATAGCCGCTACTCTGTTTGAGTTGTAGAAGCAGAAGTCTTAAGGAGAGTTTTCCAAAGGAACAGTTCAACGGACTGGATACCAGAGAGCAACAGTACCAGTATTTAACGTGCCCTGTCTAGTCCCAGGTCCATTATTTGACGGTTTATTCTTTGGTATATGACTCCTAGTTCATAATCTAATCATAACTTTCATCTGTCTGGTCGAGCCTTTTTCCTGCTCCTACTGTCCATGTTGTAAAAGAAATTTACCACCCAATCAACAGTCCCTCATTTTAATTTTGACCAATCGTCAGCAGCCATTCTTCGCGTGCAGTCCAATATCTAGCCCACAGCCTAATTCCAAAAATGTTGAATTAGGGCCAATGTCTTAATCTCCAGGAATAGCGCCGATCACGTGGTGAGACTTAACACAGAAGAGACGGCAATTTCAACCTGACTTTCGACCGAACAGCTGGTTGTTCAGCTGCTCTCGCGAATACTAAGTCAACACCGTGCGTCCTCAGTTGCAGTCCATGGCAATCCCTAGATTTCCTGCTAATTCGTTCTTGTTTCTGTTGCAAAAAGCAGCTAAAAGCCTGCATTATCAAGCGATAATTTCTAACATTTGCTATGCCGTGCTACCTGATCTGAACTACTGCGTTTCGCCATCTTCATTCAACAGGTGGGGGTAGGAGGAGAGAGAATCATAAAACACTTAATCCAAAGGAATCTGTAGACTGTAATTTACATCACTGTAGTGCACAGATAAAACAGTATCACGGTGCTGAACAAATATCTGTTCAGACACCTTCCTATCACTGCAGGCGCTAAAATACCGCAGAGCTGCGGCGGCCTGCTTAAACAATCCCGTAGGCTATTAGAAGAATGGTGACGGTGCAATTACGCCATGTAAAATCCGGAAAATTGATAGGAGTTGTCATCCCTATCGATGGAATCGAAAAAATTGCAATCTGCTAGTAAATCCAAAATATCCGGATTATTTTTACATACAATTAACATGTCTCGAATATGTATATTCCTTAAAAAGAACTTCATTAGAAGCCTATCGTGATTTAGCAGATTTTTAAAAGCAAAATTGAACGCAGCCAAGAAAACAGATCATACCAACTGATTTGAGACATCTGCATGATCTTCTCTGGTCATTCCTTCGCCAATAGCAGATTTCATTAATCTCGACAACGAAGGTAGAACATTTATGGGTGGGTAGATCTGAGGGCATGAAACTGGTTAAGCAAAGTCTCAAAATGCCACATCAAGAGTCTTGTTACCTGTCTGTTGTACAACTGACGGTCGACATAGATCTGGCCTTCTGTGATGTAACCCGTCAAATCGGGAATCGGATGAGTGATATCTGAAGGTTTGTTCTATAAATTGAACTCCTCGGCGCAATGGCTTACCGTCATTGGGCATTGTCAAAATGGGGATCTGGGTTATCGATCCATTACGCCCCTCTACACGGCCCGCTCTTTCGTATATTGTCGCCAAATCCGTGTACATATAACCAGGAAATCCACGTCGTCCGGGTACTTCTTCGCGAGCAGCAGACACCTGATCACAGATTAGTAGTACATAATATAATAAACAATATACGCCATTGAATAAAGCAAAAATGAAAACCTACCTACACCGTTGAGATTCTTATTATTAGCTAAAAACTAAACACATTTAACTTGCATGATAAAAGTAACCTTAGTCAACTGTCGAACATCAGACTGTAAACATTAGGGTCCATACTGACTTCCTAGATCAGAATGTATTCTGGATGACTGAAGAACTTTAACGAGACCTTGCTGTCGATGAATCAGTCTTTCTCTTAGCAGTTTTATAATATCGAGACATGTAACGATGAATTAGGAGCATCACGAAATTCAAAGTTAGTGCTCTAAAAAACACCAATCACAAAAAGACCCTAAAAAACGAAACTCATATGAAGCTGCATTTTATCGAATCAGTTATTTATTCAGACTGGTGCTACTTTTCTTATAAAAGAATTGTATGCCTTTTCCATTGAATATGGAGAAAGACGGTAGAAATTAGCTTTCTTCGAAGGATTGTTGGCGTGACGAGGCTCAAACAAACTTCAGAATGCAACAGTGAGCGACTCCTTCCCATGCTAACTGCCCTCCTCCAAAAAACCTGATCTGAATGTGACCAAGGTGTCAGAAGAAAGAACTCGCAAAGTGACTTTTTACAAAGCCTTGTTTAGTGAGCAGACTGAATGCCAGTACCTCGACTACATTGGTTCTGGCATCACAGAATTCAACTTATAGAACGTGTCTGATTGGCGCACGATCGGTATCATCGGCAAAACCTCCTGAAGCTCTAACCCCGCAACCCGAAATAAGAATGAGCATTGAAAACAGATGGATCGATAAAGTTGCCTTAAAAATGTGAGAGTTTTTGTCTTACCACACTGCATATCAGTCGTTTTAAAGCGTGTATAGTCGGTGAAAAATGGATGCGAAACGTGGTCTTAAACCTGAAAGCCATTCAAAAATAGCAGGCTACGCACGTAGCATGGAAAGATGTATCTTGAGAAAAACAAACAAGAGGAATATGAATGGGTAAGAGCACAAACAAAAGTCTGCGATATCACTGCCTTAATGAAGGAGTTAAAGCGACAACGAGCATAACACGCTGCAAAAATAATCGATCATCGCTGAACCAGAACAACATTACATTAGACTTGGTTCTAAAATAGAGTAAACATACAGTAGGAAAACCTTCAGATCGATGACAGGACGAGTAGAAGTTCGATGTATCAGCGATGGATGAAAATGGCACCAAATTAAGACCTAGGGCAAAGTCTTGCAGAGAACCTCATTCAGCAAAGGATCGTAAAAGACTGACACGGAATAAAAAATTACAGAACTTGAAAATAAGGCTTCACTGTGTTAGTATGATATCTGTGCAACATATATGCATTAGGTGAGTGGTCATGTTTCCATTAAGAAGTTCATCATTCAAATAAGAGTAAACATTCGTACCTCGCGCAGAGCTTCAGCGTACGAACTCATGTCTGTCAAAATGACCAGAACGTGCTTCTCACATTGGTATGCCAGGAATTCAGCGGTGGTCAACGCAAGTCGAGGGGTGATGATACGTTCGATCCTGAAAAGAACCATTCTTGAAGATAATTTGCAAAGCAAGTGATGCTTGACTGACGTCGGATCGTTCGCCAGGTTGAGAAACAAACAAACGTTGTCCATGGAGCCGTTCTCTTCAAAATCTTGCTTAAAAAAACGCGCTGTTTCCATGTTAACGCCCATCGCTGCAAACACGATGGCAAAGTTTTCTTCCTGATCCACCACGTCTTTGCCGCTGAACTTCACGAGACCAGCCTGTCGGCAAATCTGAGCAGCGATCTAAAACGTAATTTAAAACAATGCGTCACTTATGACCAACAATATGCCTAAGCTGTAATAGTTCTATAACTCGTCCAATTTTGGTGCTTCTCAGGCGAATAGTCGTTCGCCGGTCCATTCGAAATGCCAACCCTTATGAACCATCGCCGATGTCCCCTGAACCTTCATCCAGCCCAACGGATACAGAAAAATTGATCACTTTGTGATTCTAATATTTGGTCACGGGCAGACGCTACTGGCAAGTGGAGGAAAATTACTGTTATAAATACCGGAGAGGGTTACTGCACGAACGTCAGCAGGAATTTAAAGTTACAAATCGAAACAAAGTTCCGTTCCTAGAACAGAATTACTAAGACCTTAAAACTATAATTATTATAATCAGTCAGTGGGTCATCCCAGCGTGCTGAGCAGAGGACCGAGTGGACGTCTGTGTCACGGAGAATCTAGTTAATAACTCAGCTTGCCCATCAGATGAGCTATATGAACAATCCATCACTTCTTCGTGTTTTAAGCTGCAATGAATATACATTAAAAAGCCGCATCTTATCGCATGTGGAACATGGTCTCGAAGGGAGATCTTGCGTATCCGTCTCTCCATCGTCCTTTGCATCAGCAAAAGTGTTTTTCACCAAAACCTTGGCTGAAGACCAGCACTCTGCGCCATATATATATATATAACTGTATTCGACAAAGTATTGCGAATTTAGGGGTTACACCTTATACTAATTCAGATAAGTCAAAGCAAAAGGATCTGCATCAGATAGCATGGTGGTGAGTCTCGAACACTCTGACATTATCAAGGCAGAGCACTATGCTGTTACTCGGCTGGCTGGTTGCACTGAAGTACCGATGGTGAATCCGTCGCTAATTAGCAGTAAAGAAGAGTTTATTCCGCACTGTTAAATGCGAAGTAGAGCATGTCAAATACTGCTTAATCACCCCGTTATTGTCATCGTTTTAATCACGTAATATAACTTTCATCCGAACGTACAGCACCACTATATTACACACATTTATCTTTGCCTTAAACTTTTTTGCAAATCTTGACT